CAATATACTATTACTTCCAAAATTTTTAATTACAAGAAAACTTTACAGAGCCTGGATGTTGAGCATTTTATACATAATCCTCTATATTCATATTCTTCTTCACCCTACAACTGAAGTCCTGCTGGACACGTTATTACTTGTGACGTAAATATAATTAATAATGACGACCTTAAATAATTTATCCCCTTCCTCGCTCAAATATCTGACGTTTTCCAGGCGTTTTCACGATTTTGATATTTGACGTACCAGGAAAACGGCAGAACCATTATGAAAAGTGGAAATTCGTCGCCTCCAACTGTAGCCGGCATTCTTGGGTCAATTTTCGATACATGCAAACCGATTTAAATGTCTAACTCACATCTTATCAACAGTACAATATGTTTGTTGTACTTACCAATATCGCCTTTATTGTTTCTTTGCAATATAGAGAGTCTGGTGAACACATTTTATCAAACTGTTGAGATTCGTTCTGATTTTGTGCATTTTAAAATCTCGTGAGACCTGTATAAAAAAAAAATAGTAATTTTTTTTGAAAATAATGGAACATCATTTTGTGCACACAGTTGGAAGGTGGGGGAATATGATGATAAAGAATGATAAGTCTAGACATCAAATGCATATGATTATTTCGTGATCTTTCCCTTTAGGTTCACCTTTCCCTTATTCTTCATCTATGGTACAGACTATAGCAATTAAGCATTTTTTTTTACCTGAACATTCCCATTTTACACATTTTTATTACCTGATTTTCAAATATGTACAAAACGGGAACAACCGTATTCACATATATACAAGTCATCTTTTCTACATTTATAGGCAATTCAAAGACGCGTAGATGGTTCCACAGATTTCCAAGGGAAAAAATGGGCTGATGGGTTTGGACATCCTTCACACGAATATTGGTTAGGTATGGTTTCTCAGCTTCTGGTTCTTCTTGCAAAACAGGTTAAATTTTCTCTTTTGTATATCATAAGCTATATTTTAAGTTACAGGTAAAAACAGGGGAAAAAATTAAAATTCAAATAATTCATTTGAAATCTAAGAATAGCAATTTATGACTTGGAATAGTTTTATAAAATAAATAAAGATCTTTTGAAAGATTAAAAGAATGATAATTATATTAAATTTTAGGAAATGATGCAATACATTCTCTTACTAAAACTGGAAAACAGAAGTTACGGATAGACGTAGTGAGATTCTCAGGAGCTAAGGGATACGCTACATATTCCACCTTTATTGTAAACAACAAATCCAACAAATATAAACTAAACGTTGGAGGTTATAAGGGATCTCTTGGAATCAGTATGTGTAATTATCATTTTTAAACCACACACACACACACAAAAAAAAAAAAAAAAAAAAAAAAAAAAAAAAACCAAAGGAAGGGGGGAAAATAAAGAAGGAAAAACAGAAAAAAGGCAACAATACACCATGGGAATAATTTTTATTTAGTAATTTGTATAGAAGTTATGTTCAAAAAAATTTTGATTCTTTTTTTTTATAGAGGATAACCTGTCGTACCATGATGGGATGTATTTTCCACCACTGATAGTGATAATGACAAGTGGGGAGGTAACTGTGCAGTCAATGAAGGCAATGGCTGGTGGCATAAATCATGTCGTCACTCTAACTTGAATGGGAAGTATAATAGAAAGCCAAGTGCAGCTGGAAATGCACTGACTTGGTTTTACTGGTCTGAAAAGAATTCTGCTGGACTTTTAAAGACGGCACAAATGATGATTAAACCGAAGTGAAAATAAAAATTTGCAACAAACACGATAAATCAGAAACTGAAGAAGTAAAGAAGCAGAATTTTTCTTTGATTTTATTATTTTATTTCCAAGTTTAAATCTTTCAGCAAAAATAGCCATCTTTTATTAGTTGTTTCTAGGGTATTCAGAATAAAACAATTCTTGTTTTTAAGTGCCTTCCGCACTGTTTCTTTTAAAAACAACATATGATATAATACATTCCTCAACAATTCAAACCATTCTCCACCAACCCCGCTAAGTGCATTTTTGGTAATAATCAAGGATGTGCGTAGATGACTTTTTCATACAGAGATCCATTGCTGTTGGTTCTGAAATGAAAGATATGATAGCAATTTGACACACCAATAATACCATTTGATTAAAGATTACTTGCAGACCATACAGAGATATTTCCTAAGTCTTTGAGGCAATGTTGCGATCATCTGGGTTTTGGAATGTCCCCGTCCCAAAAACGTCTTAGATGTCAAGAGTAAGGAAATTCAAGCAAATAATTGCGCATCTAATTTTAATATTGATACGCATATATCACTTTCTGATATATGTATGTAAATAGTTGTCTTAACTATATGGAACAAAGTGTGGTAATTTCATAAACCCCATGCAAATGTAGAAAAATTATACAGTCTTTTATTTTGAATAATGATAAAATCATGAAAAACAAGATGTGTTTGTGAAATACTGATGCCTCCGTATGGCAACTTACAGGGAAGGTCAAACTTTCTCAAATGCAAATCAAATAAGCTGGTACCCAAAGTAAGTTAAGGTCTTGTACCAAGGAATATACCTGTGATATATGAAAGCCCTAGCAGCAACCATTGAAAAGATATGGAAAAGGTTAAAGTTATTCAAAAGTAAGTCAAACATCAAGGTCAAGGTCAAATGATCAAAATTAATGGTGCCCAAGGAAAGATCTTCTCACAAGAAATACACACGTGAAATATGAATGCCCTAGCACCAACCGTTTAAAAGATGTGGCCAAGGTTAAAGTTTTTCAAAAGTAGGTCAAACTCCAAGATCAAGGTCAAAGGGTCAACGTTGTTGGTATCCGAAGGAAGGTTTTGTCAAAAGAATTACACATGTGAAGTACGAAAGCCCTAGCACCAACCTTTCAAAAGTTATAGCCAAGGTTAAAGTTGGGTAAAATTTTGTAAAACTGGGTCGAACTCCAAGGTCAAGGTCAAAAGGTCATATATGATGGTACCCAAAGAAAGGTCTTGTCACAAGGAATACACATGTAAAAAATGAAAGCCATAGTTCCAACCAGACAAAAGTTATGAGCAATGTTAAAGTTTTTGCGGATGTAAGTACATAACAGTAAAACATCATTGCTTCAGAAACATGGTTGTTTCTTAAAATTGTCCTCTAATTTGACGTATGGCTAGACTCTGAATATATTTTCTGCAGAAGAATCAATTTAAAATGTATCTACATTATAATTACGCATTTTCTGTGACCCTTTTCTATGTAAAAATAATCTGCATAGTGGGAATGCTGTCATGTTTCATACACAATATATTTGATGTTCAATCGATTTCTGGTTATCAATATCATATATTATATATTTCCAATTATCTATATCAGTAATAAGTACATGTAATTCATAAGTTATCGAATAGCTAGTGAACGTAGGGTCGAAGACATCTTTACATCAGAAAGTCTTCCGGGTTTTCTCATCTCTCTAACAAGATATGAACTACTTAAGATTGCGCGCTATTTATTATTAGTAAAACCTTTTCAATTGACCAAGTGAAAACACAAATATTGATCGTTGATTATTCCGAATATCTTCCCATTAGGATTTTTCCTTGAACCTTCTTGCATGAAAATACTCTTTTTTATTCTCTTAGTCTCCTTGTCACTATACTGTATTGTAGCAAACTTGAAGTAGCTCTTAAAAATATTAATTCTTTTTAAAGTATTGAAATACAGTGCATATGATTGAAATCTATCCGCCCCATAAGTTCTTTCATCGAAGGCTACTTTTAACTTTAGTTATCAATACCACTACATCAAGATGGATAATATTATGTTCAGACTAAATTTAAATCTGTCGATTGTTTTCTAGTCTATGGTATCCAAAAACTAACCTTACAGCGTATCTAGTTTATAAAAGATGGATTCAATTCAGGTATACGTCTATACTGTTTCTTCTCTCTCTCTCTTACTCTCTCTCTCTCTTTAAAATTAAATCGTTTATTAATGATTTATTAATTTTGTACATTTCTCACTGAAATATGTTCCAGATACAGACATACATGTAATTTACAGTTCAGATTTTGAATATAAAATGCACTTCCTAGAATCATCGGGACCTAATATGAAACATTTGGCAGACTTTGTGGTGTCTTTTATTTCGAGTTCACTGGGATATGAGTCGACATTTGAATGGAAATTAACTATTGTTAATTGATAGTACGTCGTCTATATATCTGAGTGTGGAGTTGAAGGCCACAGCAGGTGTGTTTTTCCTTCACATGTAGAAGTTTTTGAATAAATTCTGCTTCGTAAAAAAACAGGTCGGTTAATAAAGAAGCACAATTGGATTGTTGGAAGACCTGGTTTCCAAGACTACAGGTGTTACATAGTCAATGAAGATCCTGCACCCTTTTCATATCAACCGCAAAGTACTTATGTACTTGTATATATAGAATCAATGATTTTTAAAAGGATTTTGTACATAGCCAATCACAAGGTATTCAAATTTTCGAGTTCCATTTTTATTGAAGAAGCAATTGTCTATGATATCTAAAAAGCCTAGTTTTTAATGTCAGGTAAACAAAAGAGAACAAAACCAAAAATAATATTTTATAGAGTTTTATTAAAAGCATCTTTGTAGGAAGGGAAGTTGGTAAAAACACTTAGAGAACAGTAGCGTAGCAGCTAGTGTAAAAAGCTAAAGGGACATTTCGTATTCTTCATTCCTTGTATCCACAGTAAAACACAAAAGTAAAAATAATAATCTTCTATCTTGATTAAATCAAAGTGATAATTGCCATATATCCATATCTCCTTTATATTGTGAACTTTTTATGTCAATCATACATCTTGGATTGTATCCTATGGAGAATCTGTCTTTGTCTAAGCGTGCAAAATAATACAAAAAGAACTATTCAGTATATATTATTGTTATTTTACGTGTATGTTAAATACAAGTGCATGTAAAACGTATTTCAAGAAAGAAAATTTTACTCAATGAATATGTCATTTATTTTGCTTTTTTTCCCTTTCTTATGTAGCATAATCCAATATCCTTACCATACAAACCAGATTCCAATAACGATGACGTTTATGGAATTCAGAGTAAGGTTCCAGCAGGGTTCCTTCCTGTGTGTTCTCTGTTTCCTCTGGACATGCCTTAACTGGCTTTATTGATCCATTTTGGCGGATAGGATGGGGTATTTTCCTAGAGACCTGACCTTGACCCCTTGGAAAATGAAAAGGATCCCAACTAAGCATTCTCAACAAACGTTCTTTGTTATTTGCGTCAACCGCTATCCCAAATTTACTCAAAACCCTCCTTGGCTGATCGTCCTCAAGATTGTGAGAACGTTTACAGTTTGGTTGGAATGCGCATTTACCTGCGATGTAAGAGCAGACATGCAAATGTGGACATTTGATAGATTCTTTACAACCTTTGATTTTATTGTAATAATTGCATATTGAAGGGATTGTTACACCCTTTCTGTGCTCTAACTCGCTAATCAAAAACCGGACCTGCTCAGGATTTAGAAATTGCATGAAGTGATGCTTTAGGGAATGACGATTGTGATCTGTTTGAAGATCATGTCCAAACCGACAATTCTCAAAAGGGCACTCACTGATAAGTTTGAATTTACAGATATGCAGATCATTACAATCACCGTTACACACGTACGATGAACTCGTGTGGTCAAGGCATATCTGAATATTTGACCTTGCTCTTACTTCCGGGTCTGTTATCTCACCCTCCTCTTTTTCGTCATTACAAGCATCGGAGATTTCAAAAATATTTTTATAATCTTTTAAAAATCTAGAAAAAGATTTATTTGGCATAAATTTCTTTGCAAATGATTCTGCAAGTACACAGGCCTCCAATTCTCTTTTCTTCATTTTACCACCTTTATATAGCAAAACCTTGAAAATTTTAGCAGCAAGATCATCCTTTTCCTCATCTTTTCTTCTAGATTCGTACATACGTGCTGATGATCTCTTCCTATCTTGATGGTCTTCTCTTAATGTTTGGTCCCAATTATAACTGTTTGGCACGTCTTCATACCTCTGTCTAGTAGACCTATTCTTGCTTTGATTGTCTTCTCTTATTGTTTGGCCCCAATGATAACTGTTTGACACGTCTTCATATCGTTGTCTAGTAGACCTATTCATATCTTTGTTGTCTTCTCTTAATGCTTGGTCCCATTTATATCGGTTTGACTCGTCTTCATTCCTCTGTCTTGTAGACCTTTTCTTGTCTTGGTTGTCTTTTCTTGATGATTTTTCCCGATGATGACGCGTATTGACATACCCCTGTGAAGCAGACCTATATCGATCTTGATTGTCTCTTGACGTTTGGTTCTTACGATAGCTCCTTTCATTCAAGTGTGTGGTGTACCTTTTTCTATCGTCATAGTTTTCTTCTAACACTTGGTCCAGTCGATCACTCCTAGAGGTGCATTCACTGCTATTTCTATCAACATGGCTCTCTCTTGACGTTTGGTACCTATGTTGCTTGTATATATGACTGTGTCTGTTTTCTCTGGGCTTATTATATTCATATGGTTTGCTTCTGTAATGTGATCTGGTCAATCGTTTAAAACTAAAACTATCGGACCTTGTGTTTTGTGCATCATTTCGTTCCTCTTTGGGAAATTCTGTACGATAGTTACGATAGCTCATCCTTGTTTGAATATTCTTTTTCAACTAAGCAGCTATATAAAAGAGACCAATAACAAAGTTAAACCCTTTATATGACAAGAAAAGCAGGAACAAATTTACAGCTTACATAATAATGTCAGATTTACTTAACAAATAAAAGAAATAATAGTATACGGCAACATAACAAAACATTTGAGGTTTAAAAACCTTGTCCGAATGTGTTGTTATATATCCGTTTAAAATTATTTCGAAAGATTTATATACACATTTGTATGTTGAGACAAACCATGCCCACTCTTGTGACATTCATAGCAACATGTAATTTTGAAAAAAAAAAAAAAAATAAATAAAAAGCCAGGTTAACCAACAGGAATATAATGTAAGACTAATGTGAATCACGGAAAATACAGTATGCTCAAATAAACATGTAACTACCAATCCATAAACAAATACTCTAAAAAAATTGATCTTAAGAGATTAGCCGAAAGTCTAGCCAAAAGGTGTTTGCTGAATAGGATTTTTTTTTTCAGTTAAAAGAAATTTAATGTAGTTCAACTTTTTTGATATGTTCCTCCTTTGGACTGTCTACAAAAATGAGCAATTAAGTGCAATTCAACAGTAACCCCCCCCCCCCCCCCAAAAAAAAAATGAGCAATTAAGTGCAATTCAACAGAACCACCCCCCCCCCCCAAAAAAAAATGAAGTCTGGCTTTTAGACTTTGTATGAAACATGAATTTCTAATTTGAAGACAAATAACAAATCACTTTAGATCATCACTGAAGGAACACACAATATTTATAAAATCTACATAAAGTATTTGGGTAGTGTGACGTATGCAAATCTTGGACAAAGCACAATTCAGTATTAAAAAATCCACAAGTACATTATGTACAACTTACCTCTAAAATAGAAATATAGCCTTTCTCCAATTCATTCAGTCCTCTATATATGATATGTATGTACCCTGTGTCGCAACTTCCATAAATAGTCTACTTTGTATGATGTAAACTGAACTTATACCATATACATATATGAATTATCATTAACATTTAAAATTCCAAGAACATCTACTTTCATTTCTTCGCATTTAAAAAAGTGGGATTTCCAACATAGTTCAATGTAAGGATTTAAACGTACCTCATACAAAAGCATTCAGATTTCAGAAAGTTTAATTTGTAGACATTATTAAGTATTAAATTTCAATAACTCTGCAATAGATGTTTATAAAAGCTGTGCTTGATTTTCCGTTCTAAAGTAAATTTTTACTAGTGATCAATACCCATTCGTTTAAATTTGATTAAATAAAATATAACAAATGTTTTGTATTTATATTATCATATAAGGCGATACAATGTAACTATGCACACAACGACCCTTTTTTGATGCCTCTATATCAAATTCTATGATGGTTTTTTTTTTTTTAAATTAATTTGTCTATATTTTTGTCTACAACTCTTAGATATTTTGAAAGAAAACAGCATCTAAACATTCATTACACTTGTCATAAATATACATCATAGTTGAACTTTTTCTATATGATGGCAATTTGCGTTTTGATAAAAATTGCTTAAAATGACTATTAGTGATTATGCAGTTATATGGAACAAAAGTTCTATTCGAATCTAATTGACACGCATTTATCAAGGTAACCTCTGATTTGGATCATATGAATTAGAACAAAATATGTTGTGATAACAGTGTTTCCTGATCAAGTTTATTATCATTGTAATTCTGGTTACATGAATTCCATTTTATGCTGATATATACCAGTGCAAAATGTCTTTATTCCTGTTTTAGACTTACCCAGATTTCTAGAGTAATGATTTAGATGTACTAGTAACCATAAGAACGACCGCATACAACTCACGTTTAACTCTTGAGTTTATGTGATTTTGAGACCCAGGTATACCAAGATCCCTAAGGCAATGATCATATTTTGCGGCTGATATTATTACAAGCGATAATAACAATTTGTTAAATTTATGGAGATATATGCGTTCTTATAATTTTTTCTTGGTAAATGATATAAGCTCTGATAAGGGATGTGAGATAAAACATTAAAATACATTTTTTTCTTTGAATATCGTCTTGTATACTATTTAATAGTAAGGTTGGATTGAAAAGCAAGTAATGAATGAAATATGAAGAGAAACGAACAGTAATCGAACTTATAAGTCCATTGAAACAATACAAATCGGGAGCAGAGCAAACACGGACCTCTAAAAACATCAGAGGTGGGATGAGGTGCCATGGAGGAGTAAGCATCTACTGTCGACCGGTCACACCTGCCGTGTGCTCCTTGTCATGATCCAGCAACCGAAAAAAAATCCGTAGACAATTCATGTTTACATAGAATATATTTCTTCGGTTAATAACAGTATTCAAAAGAGAAATATCAGTCAATAAGCATGTTAACAAAACAAATACGCTTTGGATATCCAAATTGATGAGACACGTGACTTCCAAAAAGCAAAACAGACCTTGAGGTGAGAAACACGTAAAATCACCGTTTGACATAATTTGTATCATGTTCTGAGTTGCAGTTCACATGAGTACTCTCCTGTCTGTTTTCCTTTGTAAAGATACGCTGCTTCCAGTCTATTTTTTGAGTTTGGGTTTGTTTTTTTTTTTTAGCCCAGAATATGTTAAAGATTTTGGACTACCACGTGTTTGTTTGACTTTCATCGTGATATTTGTTTACAAAGCATCTGCACATGCTCAGTCTGTGTATCCTTTATTTTTCGTTCGACCCTACAAAAAACACTTTTTAAAAATTTGATATTTTAATAATATCTTTTAAAAGAAACGGACTCCTACAATATACTTTTACAAATGTGAAAACTTTCTAGCAAGAATTATTTTATACGAAAAACCAGAATTTTTCTAAATTATGACAATCGGACCAAGCGACGTAAATGGATATTCCAATTGCTAAAAGGGGGGTATTAGTTTTGGGCTGTCCGTTCATCTATTTGTAGAGATGCATAATGTAGTACAGGTCATTTCCGTGGAAATTGTTAAATTCATCTGGTTAATAACAGACCTCTTCTTTCTGCAGATTTTTCAGATACATGTATTTTTTTTTCAAACTTCTATTTGTGGAACGCTCAACTCTTATTTTGGCCAAACCCTTGCGTCCCAGACCATGATTATTAATATCTATCAAATTAGATTGTATACTATTTAATAAAGTCGTATGCATAAGGTTTGTCTTTTCTTAAGAGAAAGATATATTTTGATAGCATACTCTGCAATATTTCTTAATTATCCCGATCTTCTCTCGGAGGGGGAATCTGCCCTTGATATGCAAAAGTGATTCAATTCTATGTTGTGTGGCAAATTTTTTAACATTGGAAAGGTAAAACACGTGAAAGTCAAACAAACGACAAACTGACAGATTGTGGATAAACTACAAAGCACGTTGACTTAAACGTTGACTTAAACTTACCATAAGTTGAGCTAAAAAAACTGAACGTCATTTTGAGAAAGTTGTAACTGAAAAGTATAAATACTTCCACGAAAATAATTGAATAATAATCTGTTTGGCTATAGCTTTTAAATAAAAATAGAATTACCTTAAAATTGTGAAATTTGTGGCCCCAGGGTGAAAGGTTCTGCAGGAGGTAGGTTCTATTGATTATACAATGAAAATTCATTATTTCTTTAAAAAGTCTTCTTCTCTGCCCCTAGGTAATAAACAAACAAATCAAGTGCAAAGGAAGCCTCTTTCAAAATTATGAATTCCATGACCCCTGCTTCAGGGTATCTGGTGTTAGGGCGGGGTTCTATTGATTATATAGGGGAATTAATTCATTCTTTGAAAATTTTCTTCTCTGCCCCTGGGTATTTAGCAGACTAACTAATTGCATAGTTATAATGATCAAGAGTGCCTCTTCTAAAATTATGATATTTGTGGCCCCAGGGTTAGTGGTTCTGCAGAAGGTGTGTGTGGGTTGGGGGCTATTGATTATATAGTGAGAATACATTATTTCATTGAAAATCTTCTTTCTGCTTATGGATACTTAGAAACCAAACCAAGTGCATAGCTATGATCAGGAAGGATGCCTCTTCCAAAATTGTAAATTTCATGATTATATTGATTACATAGTGAAAATGCATTTATAATTTGAAAATCTTCTTTCTTCCTCCTTGGCATTAAACGAAGTGCCTGGTTATGATGAGTAAGGATGCCTCTTTCAATTTAAATATGTTGGCCAAGGGACAGGGGTTTAGGAGGGGGGGGGGGGTCTGTTGAATATATAGTGAAAAATGCATTATTTCTTTTTCTTTGCCCCTGGGTATTTAGCAGAGAAACCAATTGCATGGTTATGATGAGCAAGGATGCTTTCTTTAAATAGAAACGTCTGAAAATCATAACTCCTGGGTCAGGGGTTCTGGTGTTTGGGTGTGGCTCTTTTGAATATATAGTGAAAATGCCCCTGGGTATTTAGCAAGAATATTAAGTGCATCTTTATGATGAATTTCTTGGTCCCTTGGTCAAGGGCTCTGGTGTTAGGGTGGACTTTGTTAAATTTACAGTAAAATACATTATTTCTTTGCAATTCTTCTTCTCTGCTCTTGGGCATCTAAGATAGAAACAGAGGTTATAAAATTGTAATAAACAAGGGTATATTTACCGGATTTTTGGAATTCTGCATTACTTGGTCAATTTATTAATTTGTACTCTACTGAACGAAGTTATTCCCCTGTGCTATTTACCTATGATAATCTGTAAATAATGTAATTGAAATGTCTATCGACTGACAGAATTACTGCAAATCCACTAATTTTAGTGGTGGTTTAATTTTCGTTGTTTTTCGGGTTATGACGACACCAACGAATTCATGTCCTCCATATATTATAAATCTTCAGATATATAGCAACTCAGTCCTATTAAATTCCCAGGAACCAATATATTTTCCTAAAACCACGAAAATTTGACCACATGAAAATATTTGATTTTACAGTATTTCAGAAAACGTTTATAATAACTAATACAAAAAGTACTATCATAGTTTTT